GGGAGCTTGTGGAATGTAAGTCACAGAGAAATGGTTCGCCTGAGCTCTGGGTGCAGGACACCTGCTGACTCAAGCAGTGAGGATGGATGCCCGTGAGCACCAGCCAGGTGCTGCCTGGGGCCAACCTGCCTCTGCCCCAGGACAGCTCACCCGACGGGGGAGCACCATGACCAGATCCAGGTGATAGGAGTCAGAGTTAAATTTAGTAGAGGCAGTGAGTCTTGGGTGAGGCTTGTAAAAAGGGAGGCCGTTCCAAGATGGGGGGGACTGAAATGTGTGGAGAAAACAAGGGACAGCAGACAAGGGCGGACCTTGGGAACCCTGATAAATACAGTTAGAGGCAGTTCAGGTAGAGTCAACAGCCAGTCACGGAAGGTAGTAGAGATTATGTAAAAGTTACTGCATTTGTGTGTGTTTGCGTGGATATATCTCTACAGGTTTGCCTGTGGGAGGGAATTGAAAGTCCGGAAGACCTAGATCTAATAAGTTAGCATTGGTTAAATCTGAGGAATGAGGTGGCAGTGGAGAGGTAAGGGGGAGCTTCCAATGTTATCTCATATACACCTGTAATGTTTGAATATTTGTGATGTGTGAGTGCTCTGTAATTAAGGAAAATAAAATCTGCACTCATTTAACATTTTAGGAATCGGTCAAATGTTTAAATGCTTAAATAAGACAGTTCTTGTGGTCATGAATAGCTCTGTAAGACTGGTCGGTGCCCATGAGATGAACTGTGAAGAATGATCATTCTTTGAACTTGTCCCCCCTGACCCCAAGTGGAGCTTTGGCAACACCTGTTATTAGAGACTCTGGCTGTGTCACATGACACTCAGACCCATGGTGTTTCAACTGACGGTCACCCTTCTCTGTTTAATCTCAGTATAACCAAGAACGTGCTGTCTGCAGTCCTTGCCACTGGGCTTTTCTCTTACATGGTGAAGGGCATCCGAGCTCATGTTTTGTGATAAAATACACATAAAATCGACCATTTTAAGTTAAAGTACAGTTCAGGGACATTAGGTACAACACATGTTGTGCAACTACCACCACCGTCTATCTCTAGAGCTGAGCTCACATGCAGTCTGGTGCCCTTTGGGCTCTGTCAGACCTCTAGCCTTGGTGGGTTTATTTCACTATTGGGCAGGATATGTCCTTCCCCAGGTGAGTATCATTGGTGTGAAGTCAGCACCGGTTGTTCTTGTATCAGAGTAAAGGCAGCTTTCACCCAGACACATTGCTTCCCTGAGAAAGGAAGTACGTGGCCTGTACCTGAGCCCTTGATTGCTCGGCGTGCCCTTAGTCTTGGTGTCGGCTTGTGCTGCCCTGACATCCCAGGAAATCTTCCAGAGATCTTGAGGTGAGCTGATGTCTTCGCTGATAGAGTCCGACCGCTGGGCCGTGGCGCTTTGGAGCCTGGAAACCCCAGTTGTTCGGATGTCAGCTAGGTTCTTGACAGGTTGCATAGATGAGCTCGGCCTAGTCAGTGGTCCGCTGAGGAGTGACCCTCGTGCAGCATAAGGAGTAAGAGCTCCAGCTTCCAAACCAGCCAGGCCTTGGGTTGGGTCTGGCTCTGCCATTCTCAGATGTGGCCTCAGATGGGTCACTTTACCTGTGTAACCCTCAGTTTCCTCATATGTGAAATGGTGTTATTTTAGTGCCAGCCTCACAGATCTGCTGCGGGATTGAGGTGACAGGGGCACCCTTATCCAGTGCCTGGGCGCCGTGGGCATGGTGTACCCCCATGGGAGCAGACCACGTGGTGGGAGGTGATGAGGTGGACAGAGGATGGCTGTGGGCTCACAGGGAAGGGGTCGGGGGGGAAGGGGTGAGGGAGGCTGCACTGGCGAGGCTTCCCGGGAGGTTGGTGGGAAAGGTACCTGGGCCTGAGCCCCTGATGAAGAGGGCCTGGCGATGGAGGAAAGAAAGACTGGTTTCCTTTTGAGCACCTGGGCTGTGCAGCAGGTGGTTGGAGGTGCAGCTGGAGAGGAGTTGGGGGTGGTCTGACTGAGCAGGAGGGTGAAATGGAGCAGCCTTCATGGGCAGGAGCAGGTGAAGGGACCAACGCAGAGATTAGGCTGAACACGTGGGTGAGGAGGAAGCCAGGTAGCGGAGGTCCCCAGGGGCGCTCGGCACCAGCGGGGCCTGCGGTTGAAGGAGATGCTCGGTTGAAGGAGATGCTCGGGTTTCAGCTGTAGGTGAGCCGTGAGCCGAGGGGAGGCGGGGGTGGGGGGGGGGGGGAAATTGGCCATAAAAATATATGACTTCAGTTTATGGTTTTATGTTCAACGAATGTAACATCAAAATAGACATAAAAAGCACTAAGCAGTGGTAGCTAGCCTCCTGAAAGACATGTCCTTGTCCAGGCCCCTCCCTCATTATATCGGGGGTGGGGGTGGGGAGAGACTCGAGGTGGGGAAGAGGCCTCCCCACCTGTGCAGCCATGTGAGTGGGTGCACAGGTGCACAGGCCTCCACAAGGGATGGGTGATGGACCCCCTTGAGGGAGGACCTTAATTATAGGGTTGATTATATCTTATTGAGAGTCTGTTTCTGGAACTAGAATGTTCTGGTTTGAATCCTGGCTCTGCTGCTTTGGGACAAGTTATTTAGCCTCTCTGCCTCTGTTTGCTCATCTGTAAATTGGGCATAATAGCACCTCCCAGGACTTCCCTGGCGGTCCAGTGGTTAAGACTCTGCGCTTCCACTGCAGAGAGTGCGGGTTCCATCCCTGGTTGGGGAACTAGGATCACGCATGCCGCGCGGTGTGGCCAAAAAAAAAACTTCCCTCGTGCATTTGTTGTAAGGATTCATTGGGTTAATATGTAAGAACAGTTAAAACAGTGCCTGGCACACAGCGGGTGGCCTGTGAGTACCTTTGGGCCCCCTCCGGTTCATGCTTCTTTAGGTAGGTGACTTGGGAAAGCAAACCTAAGAGCAATGACTCAAGCCCAGTTTTTTCCTGGCCCCAGAGAAACCACGAGCAGTTTATTTTCTTCAGGTCTTTGGATCCTCTTTGGTGAGGTCCCAAACAGTTGGAAGACATTAAGAATAATTCCTTCCGTTTGAGTGGTAGTGCTTTCTAGTTTCCTAAGCACTTCCTCCTTTATTCCCGCATTCAGTGTTCACACCAGAGCTGTGACGTGAGCGGGGTTATGAGTGCAGTTCACAGGTGGGAGACTCCTGCTCTTCTCAGCCAGGTTACCTGCTTCAGGTGCAGCCGGGCTCAACATTTATTGAGGAACCCAGGAATCCTGATCTCCTGCCCCTCAAGCTCAACCCTCAGCCCTTCCTCCCTACCCACCCCACCCCCTGCCCCATCTCTTCTACTTGGTGGGTGGAAACAACTTTGCTTTGAAACAAATGGTGTAGATTATAAAGGATGATCTTGTAAATAGGGACCAAACAGCATTGGGTCATCTTTTATTTTCCCACAGAGTGCTAAGTGCTGAGGAAGGGGAACTTAGACTCCAGATGTCCGTCCTGTTAGTCATGCCAGAGTTGCGTTTTTATGACTGGATTCCTGCCACTCCTGTGGGTGACGTGCCAGAGTGCCCCCTGGCCGGGACCTGCTTGCCCTGTTGGTCTGTTGAGAATTCTGTGAGGGGGAGTCCAAGGGACTGGTCCCTTGTATGTATCCCTTGTATGTAAATTACGGGTCAGTATCAGCAGTTGTCACCCCTCCTTAGCTTATTTGCCTTTTCAAACTTCAGTAGATGGCTAATGACCTTTTAGTGGGAAACCCAGAGTTTTGGAAAGAGCAATACTTTCTCTAGATTCGCTAGGTTTATGGACATATTTGTGAGTCTTTTTCTATAGAAGTGGTGGAATTTTGCAACTTCTTGCCAGAGGTTTGGGATATGGCATTGTTAAATGCTTGTTGCTTCCTCATTTGTATAATTTCCCTTCCTTGTGGTCTAAACATATGACTTTCAATGAAACAAGGTGGGGTAAGTCATAATTTCTGTTTTAAAATATCTGAATAATGAATTCAGAGACAAGTCATTTGGGCCCTTAGATTTCCTCTCAACACCCCTCAACCTCCTGCCTGTTTTTCCTTTCATGTTTTCAAGGCCTGTTGTGGATTTGTGTCTTGATGCCGGCGACCAACACAGCCCAGCTTAACTCCTTGCAGTGTGCGGCCCATGTGCCACTGCCCCTGGAGAGAATTCACTCTCTTGCTTCTATGCCGATTTTTTTTAAATGGCTTTTCCACCAGGTATCTTGGGATCCATGGTTGCTTCTCAGCAGTCCCTGTTTTCCCTGCACGATAGCTGATTGCAAGGTCATGCCGGCCGTGACCCTGGCCAGCTTGGTGGAGCTCGGTGGCCTTGCTGATGGGATGAGTCACATGGTGCCCTCCTCCCCCCAGCCCCACTGTCGTGTGACTCACGAGGGGAATAGGACTGGCTGAGAAATCTTTACACAAGAGGTTTTATATTTTTAAGATTCTGAGGGGATTTTCCTTAAAGTGAGCACATTTCTTGCCTCTTACTTAAATCTCGAGGACAAGGTATTCATTCTTCTCCTTACGGTCTTTTCTTCACATTACTCATGGTGCTGATATTAATTAACCTTAACAGATACGCAAATGATCTTTCATTATTTAGACCTGACACAGTTCCTTATACAGATGTGCAAAAATAGAGCCTTAGTAATCATAGACTCACATACTATCTTGCTTTCTTCTGCACTGATTGTTAGTGACTCTTATGTGGAACTGTAGCTTCCTCTTATTAATAAATAATCTAGCAGGAAGTAGAAATCGTGTAAATAAGGAATTTCTATTACCTGCTTCACTGACTGACTTGACAAGTCCATTTTGGTCTATTTTAATTAATATTTGTCAAAATGTTAAACTAACCAGTGCCTCTTGCTGTTACTTGGCTTTGCAGGTAACCTTGGAAGCTTCTGTGAATGGGGCTTGAGTGGGTGCCCTTTGCTGTTGAACCTTGTGTTATCCCTGAGGCCCTAATGAAGCGAGTTTTGGGTTGACTTTTGTAGGTATTTTCACAGTCCTGTGTTTGGTATGGAGAGTGTGGAATTGCATCTGGAGATAAGAGGTACAATTGCCGATATTCTGGGCTACCAAAGCCGTTGCCAGAGGACGGCTATGACCTGGTGCTGGTGAGTCAGTTGTCTTGGGCGTTGGGAACACAAAATGCTAATCAGAGATCCTCTGCAATTATACCTTAAATATTACCGTGGGGTGGGGATAGAGATGAAATGAATGGGCTTTTCTTATCCCAAACTCTTACCTGTAGCACAAAGAAGATAACATAACTACAGAGGTGTAATTTTGGGGGGCTGACTATACCTTGCTCATAAAGTTTCCCATTATCAGGTTACTACTTAGGGACTGATCTTGGTACCTCAGATGTTGCTTTAGCAGCTTCTTCAAAATACACTCAAAGTTAACTCTTTTTGTTCCTAGATTTCAGGGCTTGAGTGGACAAGGCTGCTAAGTGGCTGTGACTCCCTTGTCCTCTGTTCACTTTAGTGATTCCTCCGGTTTCCACCAAGAGCCTATGAACTTTGGCTGCTACCAGGAATCTGTTTCCTGTTGTCTCTTTCACCATCCCTGATACACAGGGATATTAGAAAAGAACTGGAAAAATCCAGGTGGAAAGACTGGTCTTAGAGGCTGCAGTTGACACAATAGCGGGGCACCTGGACTTACTCCTTTCATCAGAATTGTTAAAGGCACTTGACATTCCCTGGAGTGACTGATGGAAAGAGTAAATAACATTCTGGTTAACCTTCACCAAATAACCTAAAAAGAGGTAAAATGATTGTCAGGGGAGGAAAGTGAGCTTCCCAATTAGAAAAAAAAAATTAAAATGCCTCTACTGCCTCTACTTTTGTGAATCCCTAGTTATAAACAGTAAATCTGATAGCCTTTTAAAAGAATTCTGCAAGCACTTTGCATATAGGTGTCTCACCCTTGTGTACCTGAAAAGGGCGATATGAATAAAATGGTCTTATATTTGAGGAATGCTTGTCCTTATTTAACTGTGCTCCTCTGATGTCCATGCTTTCTCACCCGAAAGGAACTCTGTCCAGCGTTCTTCTTTGGCAACGTCAGTCTTTGCTGTGATGTTCAGCAGCTTCGGACACTGAAAGACAAACTGCAGCTGCCTCTGCAGTTTCTGTCCAGGTGGGTTGACCGCCGGGCATGCAGGAAAAATAGGTTTAAAAGTTAGTTCTTGTTTTAAGAATGCTATCTTATGACTTCTTAGAAATAAACGGTAACTTCTGATAAAGTAATAATTATCAGACTCAGTTCTGTAAAATGTTAAACATTCAGAGTTGCTACTTGGTTTTCCTCTGAGGTGTCTTCATCCCAAGGGGGACCTGCACTGGGGTCTGGGTCCTTTCAGACTTGAGGCCCTTCGTGCTGTGGGGAGGAGAGGGGTTCCTGCCCATTTCTCTGACCCGAGACCCCTCCTCCGTGCAGTCCTCTGCATTGCCTCCCTCCCCTGCTTTGTGCGTGGTTCTCTCTTCCTGTGGTGACCCAGGCCTTGGTAGAGCCGGCCTTTGGTAACTGCTCAAAGCTTGTTTTGGCAGAGTCGGCTGGTTTTGTCAAAATTAGTGTGCGGTCCAGTGTGTTCTGTGTGACCGGGGCAGTGAAAAGGGCTTCGTAATACATGTTCTCTAAGCTTACCCAGCAGTTCTCGAATGTGCAGAAGAACGAACTGATGGTGGTCTTTAGAACAGCACATTGAGCACCCTGATAAAGGCGGATGGGAAGGGCCTGTGCTTCTCTATGCAGGTGTCACTGCAGGTGACAGGGCACAAGTCAGTATCCACTAGGAAACCTTGCTTCTTCTCAGATTTTCAATCGGCAATATAGAGTGGAGAACCATCTGTAAATTGTTCTCTGAGGGCAACAAACAATATAATAGATCAGAAAATTGAGACTCTAATCAGGCCAGCTTATCTTGTGGAAGGAAGCCTGGTGGATGTTGCTGTGGCCAGATTGGAGCTGTCAGTTAGCCAAAACACGTTTATCTAGCACCTGCTCTACGTGAGGTATTATGGGCGTAAACATCGAAGGATAACCAAGTTTTCCCCGTGTTGTCAGAAGTAGCAAAGCTTTATTTATAACAGCAAACAGTGAGATGCTAATATGGAATACTATGCAGCTGTCCAAACTGATGATTGTAGAGATTAAATGGAGTAACATAGAGGCTTGTAATTTATGGAAAGTAGTAGAAAACTGTGCACCCCAAGAGCGAATTCTGTTTGAATGGTGTAATTGTCGTTCCTGTTTGTCACAGTAAAGCACGGAACTCCTGAAAGCAAGTCAGTGTGGGTGTCTGCTCCTTCACTAGACCAGAGGCTTTGAGGGCTGGGACCACACCTTCCTTGTTCTGTGTCACGTGTGGTCATCTGGATGGGTTCAGAATAGAGAGCAATCCTGATTGGTTTTGTTGCAAGAATGCAAGTCTGATGAAGCAATAGCTTTTACAGATAACGGTGAACCAAAGAGGAGAGAGAGGTCTTCTGCCACATAACTGGTCAACATTAGAAGCTTAAACTTTGAACCTGGAAGACAGCAGACAGTTGTGGTTCTTAAGAATACCCAGGGGCTTCTGAAATGCATGCAGCCAGAGGACACCACTGCTGTTCTCTTTATCTTCTCATGTCACGGGGAAATCCTCTTGTGTTTAGAGAGAGCCTAGGATTATCTGGGGATCGGAAGGGAGCC